TCTTTGTTCACCTGAGCTGGATGCTCTAAATGCCCCTTGTGTGTATTGTTTTATCTTTCATGTTGTAACTGGGACTTGATTGTTGGTGTCCTATTTGTGGAAGGGGTCTCTCCTCTGACTTGCTGCCAGTGAGGTTCAACCCTAATATCTTTTTGCCAGCTGTCCAGTGAGTGGTCAGGGACTCCTTAGCCCACAGGCTGGGTCTGCCTTGGGTCTCACACCTTGATTGACCCTGTCCTGGGTGTACTTCCTTCTCCCATGGAGCTGTTTCGGCAGGTGTCAGCTACAGGCAGTTGGGGTCTTGGTGATTTTTGCCTCTCTGAGCAGTCTCTCATATCTTCTTAATCCAGTTGTCTATTGATGGATACTTAGGCTGCTTCCATATATTGACTATTGTATATGAAATGTCCACCATTGTCTCTTTTATAGCCTTTGTTTTAAAGTCTATTTTGTCTGATATAAGTATTGCTATTCCAGATTTTTAAACTTATATTTGCATGAAAAATTTTTTTTATATCCCTTTAGTTTCAGTCTTTTGATTGGAAGTGGGACTCTTGTAGGCAAGAAGGAAACAAGATATATATATATATCTCCATTCAGCCACCCCATGGTTTTTAAAAATATATATATTTTATTGATTTTTTGCAGAGAGGAAGAGGGATAGAGAGTTAGAAACATTGATGAGAGAGTATCATCGATCAGCTGCCTCTTGCACACCCCTACCGGAGATGTGCCTGCAACCAAGGTACATGCCCTTGACCGGAATCGAACCTGGGACCTTTCAGACCGACACTCTATCCATTGAGCCAAACTGGTTTCGGCCACCCCATGTTTTTTTTATTGATGCCTTTAATTCATTTACATTTAAAGTAATTGTTGATAGGTATGTAGTTACTGACATTTTATTATTCATTTTTTTATTTATTGTTTTTGATTCTTCTTAGAGAAGGGCTGCCCTAGCTCATTTGGTCCAATGGATAGACCACCAGACTGAGGACTGAAGCGTCCTGGGTCTGATTCTGGTCACGGGCACATGCCCGGGTTGTGGGCTTGATTCCCAGTAGTGGGCATACAGGAGGCAGCCAATTAATGATTCTCTCTCATCATTGATGTTTCTCTCTCCCTCTCCCTTACTCTCTGAATAAATATGTTTAAAAAAAAAAAGAAGAAGAAGAAGAAGAAGGGCCTTTAACAGTTCTTTAATGCTTGTTTGTTGGTGATGAATCCCTTTAGGTTCTTCTTGTCTGGGAAGCTATTTATTCTCCTTTGATTCTACATGATAGCCCTGCTGGGTAGAGTAATCTTTTGGCCTGCAAAGTTTTCATTGAGAAGTCAACTGAACAATTTTATGGGAGCTCACTTATAGGTAACCAATTGTTTTTCTTTTGCTGCTTTTAAGTTTCTCTCTGTTTTTAACCTTTGGCATTTTAATTATGATGCGTTTTGATGCAGGCTTCTTTGGGATTTATCTTGTTTGGGACTCTCGGTGCTTCCTGGACTTCTATTCCCATGTCAAATCCCTTGTTCTCTCTCTCTTTTCAATGTGGTATCCCTATCATGTGAATGTCATTGTGCCTGAAGTTCTTCCATAGGTCCCTTAAACTATCCTCATTTTAATAAATTCTTTTTTTTTCTTTTTGCTGTTCTGATTGGGTGGTGTTTTGTTTTGTTTTTAATCCTCACCTGACTATATGTTTTATTGATTTGAAAGAGAAAGAGAGAGAGAAACATCAATGTGTGAGAGAGAAACATTAATCGATTGCCTCTCATACGTGCCCCAACTGGGGATTGAACCCACAACCTAAATATGTATCTTCACCAAGAATTGAACCCACAAATTTTGTCTGCATGGGATAATGTTCCAACCAACTGAGCCACCCAGCTAGGGCTGATTGGGTGTTTTTCAATAGCTTGCCTTCCAAATTGCTGATTTGATTCTCTTCTTTATCTAATCTGTTGATTTCATCAAATGTAGTCTTCATTTCGGTTATTTTAGTATTCATTTCTGACTAGTTCTTTTTAATTGTTTCTCCTTATTGTGTAAGTTCATTGAGTATCATTATAAACAGTGTTTGGAACTCTGTATTCAGTAGATTTCTTGCTTCCATTATGTTTAGTTCTTTTGCTGGAGTTTAGTCCTGTTCTTTCATTTGGGACGTCTTTCTTTGTCTTCTAATTTTGGCTGCCTCCCTGTATTTATTTCTATGTATTAGGTAGATCTATGTTTCCCAGTGTTGGCAAGGTGATCTTATCTAATAAGTGTCCTGTGGGGCCCAATGGTGAAGACTCCCTGCTCACCTGAGTTGTGTGCTTCAGTGGTGTTCCTGGTATAAGTTTTGTGTGTTGTAGTTGAGCTTTGGTTGCCACTGACATGTCAGTGGTGGTATTGCCCTAAGATGGACTGGCTGTGGCTATAGTGGATGAGCTAGAGTGTGGGGGTTGACTCCATGGAGTGTTATTCACTGTACTGGGGCTCTGTTGCCTGTGGAGTCTACAGGTTGTGTGTGTCATTTATGGAGCTAGTTTGGTGATGCTCTGATATGATCTGAGGCCAGCCACCAGGGGTGTTGGTTCTGAGGCCTTTGGGGAGGGACTCCATGGCAGGCCCAGATCAGCCATTGCCTGTGCCTGGTCTGGGGACAAGTGATGTGATCTACAAAGGATCTATGTTTGGTGGTGCCTGTACTGGACTTGGAAATGCTTGAGAGAGGCTCTGGTGCAGACCAAGGACTACTGCCACTAGTCCTGGAGCCATTTAGCCAGAGGTAGAGGTCATGTCCAGGCCAACTGCTGCTTGTTTGGAGTTTGTGGACCTTTTAGAGATTTGGTGGAAGTCCACAGCGTGGGCCGAGACTAGCAGCTTGTGAGGAACAGCCACTGAAAGAGGTTTGTGTTGGTGGGTGAGTTAAATAGGGTGAGTTTCAGGGAATCAACAGTGTGGGGTGAGTTTGATGGCAACTCAGATTTGGTAGCCTGTATCTGCTGGCTGTGTATGTGCAGGGAGGGCTCAACGAAGGAAGAATGGTACTTGCAGCAGTTTAGTCCCAGAGAGAGCTGCTCCTCCAGCCGTCCTAAAGCCAGACGAGTCAGTTTCATCCATTCTCTCCCTGCAATTTGTTGAGTGCTATCCTTGAACTGGAATCAGAGTGAGTGAGTATGTCAGCAAGTGTGTACACAGGCCCTTGAAGAGGAATACTTGGGACAACAGCAGCCCTCCATGTCACCCAGACAGAATCTCCACTGGTTTTCACAGCCAGATGTATGGAGAATCCTTTTCCTGGCACTGGTGCTATGGTCTGTGTCCAGTGTAGGCCTGGGACTCCTGGCTCCGCAGGGAGGACCTCCATGGCTGTAATATCCCTCCCAACTCTTTATCACCACACGTGGGTGTGGGACCAACCTGTTTCATGTCTTTGCTCCTTCTACCAGTCTTGGTGAGGCTTCTTATTTATATCCTCAGTTGTACGAGTTTTGTTCAGCTACTCTTCAGATGGTTCTCAAGGGTGGTTGTATAATTTAGTTGTAATTTGATGTGGTTGTGGGAGAAGGCAAGCAGGTAAGACTAGGAAATCCTATATACTTTAAAAGGGTGAATTGTATGGTTTGTGAATTATATATCAATAAAAAAAGACCAGACACAGGGAAAATTTCATCTTACAGATACAAATTTTTAGTATCTAAAATATTTATAAAGACATGCTACAAATTAAAAAAGTTAAGTATCTAGACTCAAAAAAGTAGGGGGAAAAATAGAAATTCACCTGGAAAAATTCAGTGCCTCAATAAATATTAATGAAATAAAACACAGGTATAACCCCATTACATCTCTGTTAAATCAGAAAAAACAAATCAAACATTGCTTTGGAAAGAAACATTTTTAAATCTTTCTGAAGGATTGTCTGGCTACTATAGCAAGTGTTATCAAATAGTTTATATTGTAGAACCATTTTAGGAATTACAGGAGAAGAATTAAGTGTATGGGAAGGTGTGGGGGGGGAGATGTATACAAAGCTGTTTGTGAAAATGTTATTACTAAGGGATAATTGGGAGTAACAAATGACCAACCATAGGGAACAGCTAACCAAGTAGGACATGTGAACTGTGTCAGCATATAGATTATTCACATAGTACAAAGCTCCATAAAGACAGCAAAGCATGTGTTTTGTGGTCTGGTCAAAACGATGGAGACCTGGAGTACAATCTAGGCTCCAGTGTGAAGATGTGGAAAGAGGAGGTGGGTAGAAAGAAATTGGATTTTAATCTTGATTTGACCCTTTCCCCCCTTCCCCGCCTTACATCCCTTCTCTTTACATGTCTTTAAATGAGGGGTGATAAAGGGACATCTGTGAACTAATACATCTAATATTCCCACAGATTCTCAGACAGAGATTAGGACAGAAAATTTGACACTTGGAATATATGTCAAATGTTTTCCACCACAGTAGCTCCATCTCTTTCATGGTGTTTAGTGGGGAAATGGTATCAATCAAGTGACAGCAAATGGAATTGTCAACTTTCCTAATCGATTTATTTATCAGGCACAGCCAATACTCTTAAAAACCATAGTTCATGGATCCAGGCACAAAAAAAATTATAGCAAGGCACTTTGCTTATTCCCCCTCCCCCCCTAAATTCCCAAATCCTCAAGATGGGGGAGAATAAAATAAGGGGACATTTCCTTGCCATGGGTACTGAGGGAACATGATGGTGGAATCTCTGTCTCAGGAACATCTCAGGATATTAATCCACACAAGGGTTTATTAAGCCAGGCACTTTCTATTATGAAAAAAACATGGCATGGCATCAGCATATGTGTTCTCTTTGCTGTTGGTTTACCATTGTTTGAGTACCATAAGCTCCTAGGTCACAAGGACTATTCTCTGATTTATTATATTTCCCAAAGCACCCAGAACTCAATATATGTTCAATAATAACTGGTGAGAGTATAAATTCAAGGTATAAGGCTGAGAGTTGGAAGAGAGATGCAAAGTGTAGAGTTTTCAGTGAGGCCCCTGGTCACCGACTGGACAGATGGTGAGAGGATCCATGTTCTTCCCTCCATCATGTGTCCCAGGGCTGAAGATAGCTTGAAGGGGCCCAGAGGCAGAGAAGCTGGTGAATGTGTAGATGTGCGATTTGGCTGTCACATTGTAAAAGGTAATGTCTCCGGCCTTGTAGTCCAGGAAGATGCCCACACGCCTGGGGGGCTCCCTCATCCGCAGGCGGGTCGGGGGAAAGGTGGATGCCTGGTACTCATTCCGCTTCATCATCATCACCACCCAGTAGCCATTCTCCGGCGACAGGGTCATGTTCCCCTTTCTGCTTGTGGATGCCTCACAGATGCCCAGGACCCACCCTGTCTTGTCTCCCACTTCCACTTCCCAGTAATGACGGCCAGAGAGGAAGCTCGGAGAGCCAAGAGCAAAAATGCAGCTATCAAATCTCTCTGGACTGTCAGGCATACGGATCCACTTGTTTCCAAGTCTTGCACTCTTCAGGTCATCAGAGATGATGAGGTTGGGGTGGGCAGTCTCTGCATCCAGAGTCACATTAACTGCAGAGAGAATTAGAATACCTAGCTGGGAGTCAGTGGGCGACATCCCCTCAGGTTCACCCCACCTCCAGGAAACACGGACAGGGATCCATCAGGGAAGCCCACTCGCCTTGATCTGGCACTTACCGGCATGTGCCTGAGCATCAATCAGTTCTGGAACTATAGAGAAAAGAGAGATGAGGGGGGAAATCCTGAGCATTCCCCATTCAGAGGGCTAAATCTACCTGGATCCCCATAAGGAAAGACAAGAACCCATATGCTCAGGACCTGATTCCTCTGCTTGGATATAACCCCATTCCTCCCAGGCACCAGGGCCCCTCTGGTCTGATTAGTTGACCCAGATAAAGGAGTTTCACACAGAAACTCCTTTCTCTTGCCTTTGTCACAGGTATTTTTCTCACTCTCTTCTAAATGCCCAGAAATCAACAGTACAAGGGACTATCACAATAACTCCTGCTCAGCACAAAACCACCACAGTACTTACCACTGAAGGTTTCCATTTCTGAACGCAGAGTTCCTAAAGGAGAAAGAGAAGTAGAGTTAATTTCCCCCGCTAGGGACAGGTCAGGAGGAGGCTGAAGGCAGAGTCAGAAGACTATGAGAGATGCAGAAGGGATGCCCGGGGACTCTGTGATGCGTGGATCTCTGGGAGGAAGTGAGCGGGCACCTTCTGTTTCCCCCATGCTCACCTACCTGAGAAATTCTTCATGCTCTTCTCCACAAACTCTGATTTCTGGTAGAGCAGGTGGATCTTCTCTTTCACCTCTAGAGGGGTAGTCCATGGCTCAGGGACAGTCACTGTCTTGGCTCTAGAGATAAAGATATTGTCCAGAGAGGGCTGGAATATGGAGTGGCCCAGACTCCCATAAAATGGAGGGAGGTGCAGCCTCCACAAGGCACACCTGAGCTTTGCATAAAAGTCCTCCCTGGACTTCAAGTTCTAAACATTGGTCCTCAACTTTGACCATGAATTTGCATCACCTGGGGAGCTTTTATTTTTTAAATTCTGTTTTTATGTATTTCAGAGAGGAAGGGAGAGGGAGAGAGAGAGAGAAACATCAGTGATGAGAGAGAATCATTGATCAGCTGCCCACAACCTGGGTATATGTCCTGACCAGGAATCATAGGTCGGCTCTCAAACCAGAACCAAGCCAGCTGGGCTCACCTGGGGAGTTTTTAAGAACACTGATATTAAAACCACAATGAGTTTTAATAATGGCCTTAAAAATCTCCCGATATTGAAATGCTCAGCTCAAAATTATATCAAATTAATTATACTTCCTCAGCAATTTTCTTTTTATTGCAATAAAATGATAATAGATGAGGAAAAAACAATGAGATACTACTTCACACCCGTTAGTATGGCTGTTGTTAAGAAAAAAATAGCCCTGGCCAGGTAGCTCAGTTGGTTAAAGTGTCATCTCAATTTACTAAGGTTGTGGGTTTGATCCTTAGTACAAAAATCAACCAAGGTATACATAAATAAGTGGAACAACAAATCAATGTGCCTCTCTAAAATTTATAAAAAACATATATATAAATAGAAAAAGAACAAGCTTTAGTAAGGATGTAGAGAAAGTTGAACCCTTGTACATTGCTGGTAGGAATGTAAAATTGTGCAGACACTGTGGGAAATATTATGGTAGTTCCTCAAGAAAACTAAACATAGAATTACTACATGATAGAAAAATTCCATATCTGGGATATACCCAAAAGAATTGAAAGCAGACACTCAGATAGATCTATATCAATATTCATAGCAGCATTACACACAATAGCCAAAAGGTAGAAGCAATCTAAGTGTCCATTGATGGAAGAATAAACAAAATATGGTATATACATACAATGAAATATTTTTTCAGCCTTAAAAAGAATGAAATTCTGATGCCTGCTATAGCATGAAGACATTATGCTAAAGGAAATAAGCCAAACACAAAAGTACAAGTATTTTTTTGATTCCACTTACATTAAGTAGAGTATTCACAAAGACAGAAAGGAGAGTGTTGAATGCCAGTGTCTGGGGTTGAGGGGAATGAGTTGTTTAATGATATGGAATTTCCATTTGGGAAGATGAAAATGTTCTGGAGATGGATGGTGGTAATGGTTACATAATAATGTGAATGTATTTATTATAATGCCACTGAACATGCATTTAAAATGGTAAATTTCATGTTATGTATATTTTACCACCACCAAAAAAAAAAAAAAAAAAAGACTTCAAATATTGATTCCTGAGTTACACTCCTGAAGCTTCAGCCTTAATTCACCAGTCATAGCCTGGATATCAGGATTTTTAAAGCTCAGGGGGTGTAACTTCCAGCCTCCTCCCTTCCTTTTGGTCCCCTGCCTGCATTAGCAGCTCCACTCCAGAAAAGTGCTTCCGCCTGAGGCTACAAGCACTTTGCAGGAACAGTTTTCTTGAGGTGAATTGCATGGGACACAATCTATTAGGGAAGTTCCTCAGGAGGCCACCAACAGCAAGGCAGGCTGTATTCATTATTTCCAGTCCCCAACTCCATTTTCTTCCTCCTGATCACACTCCTGCTTTTGCTACACAAATCAGAAAGGCCTTAGGTAGCAGCAGGAAATGGGAGGAGCCCAGGAAGGAGTCCCAGACCCAGGTCTTGGAGCATCTCCCTTCTAGGACTGCCTTCCCAGGTGCTTCCTGCAGGACACCCAAGGGATCACCAGGGGAGCTCTCGGTACCTGTGCAGGATTGCTCCGATGTCCTAGGAGACAAAAGAGGGAAGCTCTCTGTTACCAATCTCCCAGGGGCTGCACTAACTACTGGTCTCTCTTCCTGAGTTCCAGTACATCAGCAAACCTGGGGCACCTCTCCCTATTTTAATTCTAATTCCCCAAGGAGGCAGCCCAGCTGTGGCCTGCAACAGAACTGCACCCAAGTCCTGCTGATCTCTTCTGGGAGATGCCAGGAGATCCCCTCATTCTGGGCCACTCTGGGCTCTTAAGAGCTTACAAAAGGGATCTGGGCACAAGAGGCATTGTGGGTCACCAAGACCAAGTCCCACCCTTGGGCCTAATGACCTCACCCCCAGACTGGGGCAGAGCTGATGTCTATGTTAGGAACCCATGTCATTATACTGGGCACAATGGGCAGGGCAAGGCCAGGTCCAGCCACACTCACCTGCATAAGCTCCCATTCCGGCTGACACTGCTTGGTCTCCAGCTCCTCGATCAGCTCGTTGAGAAGGGCAATGTCCCTGGACACTTGGGTGTCATATGTCTCCTTGACCTGGACGATGGTCTGCGCCAGCTTCTCCAGCCAGGCCACAAAGAGCCGCTCTTGCTGCTCCAGGAACCGGCACAACTGCTCTATCTGGTACCTGACTCTCTGCTTCTGGATTTCAGTTTGTTTCTGGAAACAGGACAGAAAGGTAAAGGGGTCTGTGCAATAAGGTGCATGTGAGCCCTGGCTAGTCGATAGAGCATCAGCCTGCATACTCAGAGGTCCCAGGTTCGATTCCGGTCAAGGGCATGTACCTTGGTTGCAGGCACATCCCCAGTAGGGGGTGTGCAGGAGGCACTTATCGATGTTTCTCTTTCACCAATGTTTCTAACTCTCTATCCCTCTCCCTTCCTCTCTGTAAAAAATCAATAAAATATATTTAAAAAAACAAGGTGGATATGTGTGCCCAGGGAATCCCCAGAAGTCAACCTTCTAGAGATGGATGTAAGGCAGACTTTCTCAGAGGCCTGCATTCTAGAGAAGGAGGCAATAGAAGTATTCAAAGTTGAAAAATTTCCCCTCCCTTTTCCTCAATCCCATCCCTCAGCCACAGTCACTGACATTAGTTTCTCTAAACCATTTTGTGGTGAGTATGAGCAAGTGTGACAGTCTTCAGAGATACCCTCCCTCCCAGCTCTGTAGGGATGAGCTCATCCTTGGACACCCGGAATTACAAACCCCCGTTCCCGTCTCTCCCCCCTGCTCCCAATCCCCGCAGCCAAGAGCAGATAATTCTAAATATTCTAAATATATGATCAGCTATGCTTCCCTGTGAACCAGAATAGAACCCTGTTTACTCTCTGTGCCTCCCTCCTGCAGGGGTGAACCTGAGTAAGGACTGGCCACAGAACACCGTTTGCCTTACCAGGTAGTTTGCAGTGTTCTTCTCCCCTTCAGATCTCTGCTCTTCTCCGGAGCTTCTCAACGCCTTTAGATGCTCCAGCTGCTTCTGAATTTGCTCCTGGACAAAGAGCATTTGTTGAAGCTTAAACTTGGCTCCAGCTATGTTTAGTTGGTGCCAACTCTAGAAAGGAAATCTGCTTTAGGGAATAAAGCTGAGGCTGCTGCAGCCAAAAGCAAAGGGAGGGACGCCCAGGAAAGAGAAAGAAGGAATCCATGACACTAGGCGAAGAGAGCCAAGAGGAAGAGAACTTCTAACGACCTCCTGTGAGCACCTGCATTTAGCCACACCTGAAGCGAGGCCCTTGGACCTCTCAGCTACATGTGCTGGTAAATATTTTCTTTGCTGCCCTGGTTTATATTGTATTTTTGCCATTTACAGCTCAAGAGTGGCAGCTAATGCACCAACCTCCTAGTGTCATTGGGAAAAGGAAACCAGCCCCCACATGACCAAGTGCTCAGCGGAGAAGGCCCCAGGCAGGAAGCCCTACCTTGTATTCCAGGGCAGCTTCCTCGATGGGGCGCACCCGGTGGCCTCGGTGCTCCTGACTCAGGCTGCAGATGAGGCAGATAGGCTCCCTGTGGTCTTCGCAGAAGAGCAGCTGGACCTGCTTCCTGTGGCGCGTACACTGCGGCAGGAGCGTGGGGCTCACGCTGGCCATCGGTGGGTCCTCTTGCTGCTCGATGCCTCCAGAGCTCTTCCCTGGGAGCGAGACCTGACACCTGAGGCAGTTGGGCAAGCAGCCATCTGAGGCCTTGGGATCCTTAGAAGCAGCGGAGCAGCTGTGGGAACCATGCTCATGAGTGCTACCAACCAGATCTCCTTTCTGGGCCCGGCCGAGGGGACACACAGCTTCATCCTGCGGCCTCCCTGGGAACACAGCAGTGAGAAATCCCCTGAGTGGTAACCCAGGATGTTACGAAGGGGTGATGCAAAGGCACAGCAGAGAAAGAGCCCGCACCTGGGCCTCGTGAGTTCTCCATTGAACTGTGGCCACTTCCTAGCTTGTCCCCCTTGATTGCACTCCAACAGGCAGCAGACAAGTCCCTGGGACTGAGAGTTAAGGGCTAGATCTCAATGACAGTCCTGAGACCTGGAATTCTTGGGGACTTATCCTAAAGAAAGGCCTTTTGCCGAGACCGGTTTTGCTCAGTGGATAGAGCGTCAGCCTGCGGACTGAAAGGTCCCAGGTTTGATCCCGGTCAAGGGCATGTACCTTGGTTGCGGGCACATCCCCAGTAGGGAGTGTTCAAGAGGCAGCTGATCGATGATTCTTTCATTATGTTTCTAACTCTCTATCCTTCTCTCTTCCTCTCTGTGAAAAATCAATAAAATATATTAAAAAGAAAAAAGAAAAAAGAAAGGCCTTTTGCTGTAAATCCTATGCCTTCCTCTCACACATCCACTGATCAACCTAGGGTCCATAAAGCCTTTGGAATTCTAAAGGACTTCAGAGTGTGTAAAAACTAACAAATTTGATACAGTTTGTGAAGACGTGCATATATAGATTTTTTTCAGGATTTACAGCCTCCAAACGATTCTCAAAGGGTTGGGGACCTTAGGAGGCAACCAGGGGTCCAGTTACCACAGTGGGGGATAAAGGAAGGTGTGTGGAGGTCACCATTCCTGAGGATCCCAGGTCTTCTGGATTCGGGGGTCCTTTCTTACCTGAAGACGGAGGGACTTCTGGATTTTGAAGCTCAGTGCCTACTGCCTCCCCCAAATTCTTAGGTGTCTCTGGACCCTCAATTCTATTTTTCTCTGAATGTACTGTGTATTCTGGATGCTCCCTGGTCATTTCCTTTCCATTCAACAGTACATTGGAAAGTGTATTCCTCAATGTTCCCTTACTCATGATCACAGAATGTTCTGGATTTTTGGAGCCTTTCTCCAGAGCCATAGTAGCCCCTACATCCAGGGTGGCCACTTTGCTGGGGGTAGCTGCTGAGTCCAGATTCTCACTTCTCACTTTCTCTTGAGGCAGATGAGTTTCTAGATTGGAGAGAGCCCTCTCTCTGGAAGGAATGGTAAGTTCAAGGCTTCTGGGTCGATTCTTTTTTGAAGTTGCACCTGCTTCAGATGCCTTGCATTCTTTCCTTCCCAGGGACCCAGCATATGACCCACTGCAGAGTCCCTGGAGCCTGCCTGCAGAGCTGGCATTCCTGCGTAGCCTGACAGTGGAATCACTGCCCTTCTCCCCTTGCAGCTTGCCGGGGAGTGGACTTTTCTTGGGAGACAGAGTCGTACCCCGGGCCCCTGGCTTGCTCTGCACATCCAGGCCCTCTGAGCCCTTCAGATCTCTCCGTTTGCTGTGAGGCTTCTTCTGGGGTTGGCTGGCTGCTCCATCACCACTTTGCTGCTGTCTGTCACCTTCCAGGCCATCTGGTATCTTCAGGCTCTTAGGCTTATTCTCCCCAGAGGAACAAGACATTGCTAGACAGTCAGTGCCACTTTCTTGTCTCAGGTATTCTGAAAAGACAAGGAGATGCAAGTCATGAAAATGTCAGGTGTTTTAGGGCCCAGGATGAGGGTTGGGGGGAAGAAGAGAGAGAACCCTCAGAAATTAGAGAAGTTCAGAACATCAATAGCAGTAAATTACCATGAAATAAGAACATACTATTTGCTATATATTTTTCAAACAGTGCTTTCAAACTTTTTAGGCAGGAGAATTTGTTTCCAATATAAGAATCCCAAAAACAGAACTCTCCATACATAAATAAAATCCTAGTTTATTTGTATAAATTTGTCTGTGATTATAAAATCAGTAAAGAATTCCCTTATAAGACCAATCAATAAAGATTAACAAGTGGAAATTAGACTTTTGATGATGAGCACACTCTAGTGTATAGTTTTCAAATTATGTATAAGAGAAATTTATATTATCAACCAATGTTACTTTAATAAACAACAAACAAACAAAACTCTCCAGGAAAACAAAACTCAATTATAACAGTAGGCAAGGGAAAGAATAGAAGTATTCAGAATGGCAAAATAGTGGTAATCATTGAAGGGTGATGGGTACAAAGAGACTTCATCTTAGTATCCTCTTCTCCTGTGAGTTTGAAAATTCATATTTAGAGGTTTTAAAGAAAACCTTCTATACAGAAGGGAACAGCAGGACGTGTACCTGTAGATATTGACATCAGATAGAGCAGAAAAAGAAAATCTCTCCTGAAGATTTGTAAACACTACTCTCTTTTATGCTTCAGCCCACATTCACATTATTCATGCCCGAAAGACCTCAAGAGAGTAATTTCATTTGAAGGGGATCCTAGCTGGCATTGCCCCCAGACAGTCAGGATGGGAATTTCCACACTGCTGCATGATGTATTAGAAAGTTAAGAGAATAAATCCTGAGTTCCCATTTTTCCACATGAGAAGATGGGTGTTAACTTTTGTGGTAAAACATTTCACAATATATGTAAATGAAACATTATGATGTATGCCTTAAACTTATATGTAATATATGTTGATTATTTCTCAATAGAACCAGAGAACAATCATTAAAGTGTTTGGCACAAAATTTTTAAGTCAGGTTATGAAGGACAGTTAAAACTTTAGGAAGTAATTCATTTCTGTTTTTCCTTTGGTTTCATGAGGTGAAAAAAAATCACAAATCGCACAGATTAAATGTAAATGGTAATTTTAAAAAACAACACACAGCTTGTCTGGAAATTTCAGGATACTGTTTAATAAAACAAATGTCAGGAAAGGCTTAATTCCAAGATTTACATATGAACTATCACTCTGGTGGCTTTCAGTATTTTAAAATTTGGTTACTGATACATTTTAATATGAATTTGTCTTTTTAGTTACAAATTTAATGAAATTTGAATCAAGTATTTGCTAATATCCTAAGAATCCCTGAAATATCACCCTCGGTTATAATTTGAAAACCACTACTCTAATAATGAAATGAAGATACCCTGTAATTAGCATCTTAATATTTGGTTTGAGGAAGCTCTTACAGAAATTACTTCCAAGTTGTTTAAGACACTTCGCTGTTGGCTTTGTAGGAAAACATAAGTTATCAAAACTGACTTAAGAACTGGTGAGAAATCTTGAAGGTGCTGATAACCAGATTTTAGAACATGAAAAAGTAATTTAAAAATTCCATGCATCAAATAATTCTGGATTCAGATTACAGTTGATTTAGTTGTGTCACTCTTTCAAAGAGCAGATAATTTTTTAAAATTATTTTTTCTTGATTTTTTACAGAGAGGGAGAGAGAGGGATAGAGTTAGAAACATCAATGAGAGAGAAACATTGATTCAGCTGCCTCCTGCACACTCCCTACTGGGGATGTGCCCGGAGCCAAGGTACATGCCCTTGACTGGTATCAAACCTGGGATCCTTCAGTCCACAGGCCGATGCTCTATCCACTGAGCCAAACCAGTCAGGGCAATTTTTGTTATTTAAACTGTTATACCACATAGAAACACATGAAAATAACGTCTAATGTATTCTTAAAGTGTAGAAATAGAAAAATTCAAACATTAAAGATTATATTTTTAAATGATCATGTGTTAGCCACTTTCCAAAATCTTTAAAAAGTCTTTAATAGCAGAAATCAAATAGGCCACATTAGCTCATCATTATGTATCAAAATTGGAAAGTACAGCAAAAGATAGAAGAAGCAGGAGAAGGAAGGAAAAGAGGAAAGAAAAGATGAAAGGAAGAGGAGAAAGAGGGAGAAAAAGGGAGGAAGGTAGGTAGAGAAGGAAGAGAGAAAGGAAAAGAAGAAAAAGGAGAAACTCCTCTTGAACAAATTTAAAATGCCTTTGTAAAGCGTATTGACAAAGAACTCAATTTCAGGAGGAAAAGGGTAGGTAGAAGTGAAAGAAGATATAGGGGGGATAATTGGTGATGGAATTTGTTTGTTTGTTTGTTTGCTTGCTTGTTTTAAAAAAGAAAAACTCACGCCTTGGCCAGGTAGCTCAGTTGGTTAGAGTGTCATCCCCATATGCCAAAGTTATGGGCTCAATCCCCATTCAGGGCACATGCAAGAAACAACCAATGAATGCATAAATAACTAAGACAACAAGTCTATATTTCCCTCTCTCTCAAAATCAATCAATACAAAATTATTAAAAAATCAAAACTGAAATTATGTGGGTAACAATAAAAAGATTTGTTGTTAATATGATTCATTAGCAAGCCACTTTTGCTCACCCAGAGACTTATCATGTAATTACAGATCTCATGAGGAATTCTCTGGGAACAGTCAGCTAGCTCCTGCCTCTCCTGATCCTTCCCTGAGTCGGAATCTCGGCTGCCTACTCCCAGCACTGCTCTTTTAAAGCCACTGGGAACCTTTGCTTTATTAATCCAGCTACAAAGACCAGAGCAGGGAAAGACTTGTTTGGCCAAAGTCACTAACATCTTGTTAGATCGGGACTCCTAGTCCCCAAGTCAGAGTGCACTGGTCCAAACACATGCTCATTCTTGCACCTTCCACCCCACCTCATGAACAGCCAGCAGAGGAGGGGTTATGGGGGTCTGCTTACCTGAGTCAACAGCCCTGTGGAGCTCCTCTGCCAGGAGGTGCTGGTTCATGGCCCTCAGGACCTGCAGGGTCAGCTGCACAGCACACTTCTCCCCATAGTAGCTGAGCAGAAGAGAGGCCAGCTTCACCGGCCTGGCTGTCGGGAGCAGGCCTCGGGGTATCCGTTGTTGCTCCTTCTCTAGGCTGGTGTTTTGCAGCTTGAACTTGAATTTCTCAAAGTCATAGGGCACCAGCTCCTCCAGGGAGTGCAAAATATAGTCACTAGGGGTCTTGGCCATGGTGTTGACCAGGAGAGGCCAGAGCCAGAGCCAGCTGTCTGGCTTCTGGGAGGAGAAAAGGCCCTCTGTCACTTACCAGGAGGTAAATGAGAAGAGGCAGCTTGTGAAATAACGGAAAAGGAACAGGAAATGCTTTGTGGTGGGAATTGAGGCTAGGAGAGTCATTGCTGGCTTTGTGTCCCTTTTGTCGCAGATTCAGAGGCTTTTCCAGCTGGGAGGGCTCAATGCCTTGCCACACATGTGGTCCTCCAGTGCCCCAGCTCTCACCTCCAAGGATGGGTTGTAGAGAGCTGGGTAAGTCTCTGAGACAGGGTCTGGGATTGGATTCCAGCCTCTTGATCCTTCAGCAGGCACTCAGATGCTTCCCTCTCTCTTACTTCCAAGATTCAGGGCTGGGGCGTGGGAACCAGAGTCCTTGGTCCCATGCTGGAGAGGACCATGATGAGGGTCAACCCCTCTGGCCACTGTTACCCAGACTCTTGGGGTTTTATTGACCCTCCAAAGCCAATGGTGAGACTAGGGAGCAGCAAATACAGCCCTGTAAGGTTTGTGGTTCCCTGCCTACATATTGACCTCCTTTGCACACTAGCACATGGAAAACCACTGCGTTGTTTTCAATGGATGCTGGGTAATTCATGGAATAGATTCACCAGTTTACTAAGCGGGTACATGGTGATAGTCATTTAAGTTGCCTGGCTGAACAAATAGATGTGTGTGTGACCTTCCTAAGGCCAAGGCTTCAATGAGTTCTGGTTTGTATTTTACAGAACATTCAGTGGTTTTGGTTTAACAGCTGATTACATTCTCTGGATCCTTCTGAGAAAATAACCCCCAACCCAACATTTTTCCTAAAAAATGGATGACCCAAATGTACATTTCCAGTGTAAATGTCAGAGTGTGAAATTCCCAGGCTGGGCCAGAAGCGTGTTGATTGGGGTGTTTCTAGGACCAGTTCAAGAAACGCAACTGCCGCCTACCGCTGACGCAAAACTGATGAAACTGTGCAATGACTGCAGTGCCCTTGGGTCTCTGACCCTGTCCTGTTGGGCCAGGAAACTCCTCTAAGCGGAGACCGAAGCACCTAGTCCAACTGATAGGAAGCGGGGTTTTCCAGTCGGCAGCAGGCTCTTTTGCAATTGCAGTGACACCTTCTGCAATGGGCAATTCTGAGGAAAGGACTTCTTGAAAAGGATGTTTTGACGCCACGGAGGCTCACAAAGCCTCCATTTCTTTCAGGTTCCAGTTAGTTTTTAAAATGAAGAAATGTGAAAATAGGAAGCTCTTGGGATGCATTTTAAACCTTTTCCTTGAGTAAATACTATCTATAATAAATTTACTGTGCTTTGCCAAATCCTTCTGTCATGCTCTTGAATCCTTTCTTGTTCTGGGACAAGAATCTGGTTTGGGTTGAGGCCTCCTTTGGCCTTCCTGTGTGCCACCAGGGATCACCATCAAGACTACTTTCTTTTTCTTTAAAAAAATTTTTTTTAAATTGATTTCAGAGAGAAAGGGAGAGGGAGATAGAAACATCAATGATGAGAATCATTGACCTGCCGCCTCATGTAAGCCCCACACAGGGGATCAAGCCCACAACCCGGGCATGTTTTTTGATGGGGAATCAAACATAACCTCCTGGTTCATAGGTCGATGTTCAACCACTGAGCCAATGTGATTGGGCAAGACTACTTTCCAATATCAGGTAAACATAATTAGACTGTATTCACATTCGTGATGTCTGGGGGCCACCTTTTTACTTAAATCCTTGTCATCCATCTGAGCATTCTCCTGCCTGCCACACTTGCCAGTTAGAAACTATAACAACTTAAATGACTATCACCACGTACCAGCTTAGTAAGTTGTGGTGAATCTATTCCATGAATTGCACAGCATCCATTGAAAACAATGCAGTGATATTAGTGTGCAAAGGTGGTCAATATATATCGATAGTAAAAGAGCAGGTTTACAGTACAATGTGACAGTATAATTCCATGTATATAAATAATAGAAAAACATTCTAAAACAAATAACATGGCAACTTCTAGAGAGTAGAATTGGGGTAAGGGTTGTGCTTTTCCTTCTTATGCTTTCTATATTTTTCTTCAATTAGTATTTAAACATTTTATGGCACATGAAACATAATCTGTGAATACATTTTCAGTGTAAAATAAGGCAAAATAGAAAATACAGCAAGAATGTTAGAGTACTTTAAGACTTTCATGTTTTACTCACTATTATTATAACAAAAACTTAAGTAAAACCTAATTGCCTGGCTGGTGTTGCTCAGTGGTTGAGCATCAACCTATGAACCAGGAGGTCAGGGTTTGATTCCCGGTCAGGGAACATGCTTGGGTTGTGAGTTCTTATGCTATTGCTCAAATTAATGTCTAGATCAGTGGTTCTCAACTTTGGTTGCACATTAGAAATATCTGAGGATCGTCGAAACCGGTTTGGCTCAGTGGATAGAGCGTCGGCCTGTGGACTGAGGGGTCCCAGGTTCAATTAAGTCAAAGGCACGTACCTTGGTTGCAGGCACATTCCCAATGTGGGGTGTGCAGAAGGCAGCTGATCATGTTTCTCTCTCATCGATGTTTCTAACTTTCTATCCCTCTCCCTTCCTCTCTGGGGAAAAACAATAAAATATATTAAAAAAAGAAAAAGAAAAAAGAAATATCTGAAGATCTTTGGAAAATCCCGATGCCAAGACCAAATATATCAGAATCTCTAGCCCAGCCTGCATGGCTCAGTGGTTGAGCATTGACCTATGAAGCAGGAGGTCAGGGTTCGATTCCAAATCAGGGTACATGCCCGGGTTGTGGGCTTGATCCCCAGTAGGGGCGTTCGGGAGGCAGCCAATCAATAATTCTCTCTCATCATTGATGTTTCTATCTATCCCTCTCTGAAATCAATTTTTAAAAATATGTTGTTGTTGTTGTTGTTGTTGTTTTAAAGAATATCTAGGGGGTGGAACCTACATGCTATTATTTTGTGTTCCCTCAAAATCCCCATGTTGAAATACTAATGCCTCATGTGATGGTATCAGGAGGTAGAGCCTTTGGTAATTGGCTTGCCACAAAGGAAGAGCCCTCGTGAATGGTATTAATCTTCTTATAAGAGACCCCATAGAGCTCCCTAGCCCTTCCACTATGTGAGGGAGAACACAGAGATTGGCAGTCTGCATTCTGTAAGAAAGCACTCACCTAACCCTACTGGCACTCTCATCTTGGAATTTCAATAACCAATACCGTGAAAAACAAAACACCCGCTGTTAATAAGGTACCCAGACTGTGATATGTTGTTATAGCAGCCCTAATAGACTAAGACACCAGTCATCAGAACTGTTTTTTTTTTTGTTGTTGTTGTTAATCCTCACCTGAGAATATTTTTTTTTTATTGACTTGGGAAGGAGGGGAAGAGAGGGAGGGAGTGAGGGAAGGAGAGAGGGAAAGACAGAAAGAGAGAGAAATATTGATGTGAAAGAGACACACCATTGGTTGCCTCCTGAATGTGCCCTTATTGGGCCAGGAATTGAACTTGCAACGCTTTGGTGCATGGGCTGATGCTTTGACCACTGAGCAACATCAGCCAGGGCTAAGCATCAAAACTTTTTAAAGCATCAAAGGTGATTCCAATATGCACAGAGCTGAGAATCAATGGTTCAGGGGTGGGGAATAATCTGGCTCTTGGGCTGTATAAGTTCCTCGAAATCATTTGGTCTGGCCCTGCCAATTAATGTTTGACCAAATATAGCAGGCTGCTTTTTTAGTTGATAATTTTGTATGTTCCTTGAATGATGTTATAAATATAAAAAATTTCCTCGCCCCTGGAGATTGTGAGTAAACTGCTCTAGCACTAGTTCTCACTTTAGGGAGAAAAATCTCAACATCTCAGTTGTTAAAACACTCAAATTTGGGGCTGGTTAAACTGACTGTAAGTGTTAAGAAGAGGCCAAGAGGTGCGCTCTTCCCCCCCCCCCCAATTGCTCATCTTTATAGGGGGGACTTGAAGAGAAAGAAGAGTCAGGCCAGGAGGCTGAAGATTAAGCATTAGTTGATTCTGAGATTATTCAGCCCAGATCACTAGGTTAGAAATAAAGATCAATAATTATCTTGATCTTTAGGATGGTTTTTCAGGAATGTGAAGGTGACTGCAAGTGCAGGAGGGAAAGCATAGTCTCTCAACCCCCACCATATTGTGAGCTCCTTGGGAGCTGATTCAGTTTATTCCCTCATTTCTTCGATTTCAGTCTACACAGCATCCTCATCACACTGTGAAAGAATTCATGGAGATTCTGGAAGGTCACAATTGCAAAAATTGTAATATGACCCCTTTGCTTTCAAGAAGACAAACTAGGAGGACTCTTAGGAGGACTATCTTAGCTAGGGATGAGTTCTTTCCTAGGTCCTTTAGCCTCCTATTTTCACTGCATTAAGTATTAATAGTTAAGCAGCCATTAACAACTGCTTTACAAAACATGTAAAATAGTGGTTGTTTTTAAAAACTTTTAACAGATAAGAGGAAGTCAAAAGAAAACAAAAACCTAGGAGACAAAAATGGGAAGCAACTCAAACTTTTCTCACTTCCCCTTCACTTAAGCATGAAGGATGCTTCCAAACATACAAAAGTACTTGAGAAGCCAAGGCTATTTTAGATTTGTTGTTTTATAAATAGAGCCCTTGTTTCCTAGAGATTTTTACAATATTTAAACAAGTCTACCAGAAAAATCTAAATAGAGTTTCAGAGCCAAAATAAAATGAATTTCATTTCTAATAAATACAGTTAAAATTTTTTAAAAATATATTTTATTGATTTTGTACAGAGAAGAAGGGAGAGAGATAGAGAGTTAGAAACATCGATGAAAGTCATCGATCAGCTGCCTCTTGCACACCCCCTACTGGGGATGTGCCCGCAACCAAGGTACATGCCCTTGACCGGAATCGAACCCGGGACCCTTCAGTCCCCAAGCCAACGCTCTATCCATTGAGCCAAACCGGTCTTGGCAA